GATTGTAATTAGCCCCAGTCTCTCTCTCTCTCTCTCCCTCCCTCTCTCACTTTGTCTGGAATAGTACTTTTAATTGCCAATTGCAGTTTGTAAGTGTAGGCCTATATGTATTTTTGTTAATTTAGTTAATAATTTAATGCCTTGTTTATAATTATTTTTCTTCTTTTATAATTTGTATAATGTGGATGCCACCACCTTCAGCGTGTATGTGGTAGCGCCCTCTCTAAAATATGTAGTTTTGTCTTGAAAGTATGCCATGAAATACATGCGTTGATGGTGCAATTTTTTATGATGGGAAGTGAAATGCACTGTCGGCAATTCTTTTAGCACGGATTTCCAAAAGAACAATGCAAGTCAGAACTACTGTAGTGTTACATAAAGTTTAGAAAGGTGGCATGATTTGAGAGGCTCTCTCTGTTTTTTTAGGTTTATCCGCACCGTACTCCGAAGGAAGGTTTGGAGAGCACCATCGTGATGGCCAACAACACTGACGACAGCCATCCAAAAAAGCCCCGCGAATGTCCAAAGAAGGAAGACGGGAATGATGAAAACTTTGAATTTGATGAGCACCCTTATCGTAATGCTACCTGGTTGTCGAGGCTGTTCTTTTGGTGAGACTCGGTCTATTACTCCCTTAATTAGAGTAGGCTAAGCCTATATAGGCCTAGAGGCCTATGACATAGGCTATGTTAGAATTAATATAGAAAAACGCTAATCTATCTAGCCTACTTCCTAGGCCTAGCGAATGCAGATCATTTCGGTCGCGATAAACAGCCTCAGTATGGAACGCCGATATACGCACTAGTGCTTTATGTTTGGAAAGTAATTTTTAAATGGTTCTGTATTTTAAAAGTTTTTTTGGTGCGTATTTCAGACTGGGTATTACCGTAATTTTATTTATTTTGTCTTTTTTTACGATGCTTGATTACCATTTGTAGGCCTAATATTCTGTGTGTTTTTTTTTAGTATGATTGTTGTTTTAAGTTTTTTACGATTGTTATTAATTACAAGTAATTTGAATATAATTTTAGCATGTTCTTTTTCTTCCTTAATAAGAAGTGAAAAGTCAAATACTGTACATATTTGTATTTATCAATATCTGAATTATTAATAAAAAAAAGGCCACGAATGTTATGATTATGATTTAATTTGTTTAATCAAATATACTTTTATATCAGAATATTAAAATATATGTATTTGTACAGTACATTCCATTTAAACTATAGTATTTTACAATTAATGTATTTTTATAAACGCTGTGGCTAGAGATACGGTACCGTATTTCTACTTCGTTTTGCTAAAGGTACGGTAAATGGCATTACGTCACCATCACCCAATGAAATGCCAGAATGTGCGTGACGTCATTTTTTGAAGACTGGCATTGTATATCACCCGCGATGAGCGGTGGAAGGAGAACGATCATTGTACAGTACTGGGAAATTAGAACATCAAAAGTACAATATTGTTTGACTTTACTGCCATCCTTAAATAGGCGTATGGTTCCACTTTATAGTAAAAGTAGGCCTGTATGAATTCTCTTGTTTACAGTATATTCATTTTTTTATTGCAAGTGTTGTCATAAATAGATTACCAAAGACTAGCAGTAGTGTGTGTATACATGGGCCTTGACCTAAGTCCTGAGGATGATGCCTTGCTTGATAAGGCTATATAAATGACATGACTCTTATTATTGAGTGGTATGCCTATTTTTCTATGACAGTATAAGGTGTGCATCAAAATTATTGGAAAAATTTGACTCAATAGTAATAATCACGAAGGGAAAACTTATTCTCTCGATCTAGGCCTAGATTCTGTACCATAACAGTGACAAAGTCTAGCCCTACGAAAAGTTTTGTGCATTCAAATTGTATGAATATTTTGGTGGGATTGTAAAGCGTGGTATTATTTCGAGCTTCTTGGACTAAAACTTGGGATGTAGGGATTATGAAGTTCAGACGGTATGATGACGGAGGAACTAGGCTAAGTTTATGACTGATATAGGCCTATGCCACTCAGATCAATGTCACCAGAGCAGCTGCCGCGAAAAGCAGAATCCAAGCAAGGCCGAGCAGGCTTGCTTAGATTTTTCGCCAAGCGAAGAATTTAAGCTTGGCCTAGAGGCATGCCAAGAGTTGAATCAGTCCTTGTTTGATAATGGTTATACATAGGCCTAGCTAAATGAAACTCTTTACTAAATGGAACCATAAGCCTATTTATCGATAACAGTACTAAGTCAAACAATATTGTACTTTTTGATGTTCTAATTTCCCAGAACTGTACATCGTTCTCGTTTCACCGCTCATCGCGGGTGATCTGCAATGCAATGCTAGTCTTCAAAAATGACGTTACGCACATTCTGGCACTTCATTGGGTGATGGTGACGTAATGCCATTTACCGTACCTTTAGCAAATTGAAGTAGAAATACGGTACCGTATCTCTAGCCACGGCGTTTTATAAATATGATCATCAGATTGATGACTCGGAAGTTAATGGTGACATGAAGTAGGTGAACGCACTTGAACACCTTCACTGCCACTGCCATGACCTGCTAAAAATAGCTAGTCATCTATATTTAGCATCTGACCTACTTCAGTCTTTGCAGTGTAATGCATTCACATTCCTTAAGGCGGCGTACAAAGAATATGCCTTCTCACCCTCATGAGCACCGTGGGAACCTTGGTTGTGGGAAAGTTTCTTTCCGATTTTATGGTTAGTTACCAGGCAACTAGTACAGGAGTCGAAGTAGTGAATTTTTCTAGCTTTAGAAGGATGCCCGCCCCGAAGACCGAAACCGTGGAATGGCTATTAACATGTATTTAAAATTGTATATTAAATCTGCATTTTACTACCTGTATCTATTTTATAAACATCAGAATATGTAAAGAAAATGTAAATAAACCAAACAAGAAAATGCAAACCTTGTGCTGCTTCAGACAAGTAAACAAATGTATGAAAAACTAATCTATTGACTGTATTTATTTTATAAATCTCCATTTAATTTATGCATTAATAAAATATATATATATATCGCAACAAACGTTATTGAGAAATTTGTATCAAACCAAGTCGACCTTGTAACATTTTCGTTGTTCCTGTAAAAATAACACCAAGTGATACACGTGATATTAATAATCATAAAATATAATATTGTAGTACAGTAATACAAAAAATTGTTAGTCAACTAATGTTTTATGTAAGTTTTGTGTTTATAAATACTATACTGCTTGAGGCATTAAAACAATTTTTGCCGTTTTGGTCTATGCCTATTAAAATTGGTAGTTGTCATTGCCATTTTGGTCTGTTGCCGTTTTGGTACTTATCATTACCGTTTTGGGTTCATTGCCATTTCAAATAGTTATTGCCGTTTTGTTCGTTGCCATTTTGGTTTATTGCTGTTTTAACCTGCTACAGCACATACACTTGTATGCCAGACTGTAGAAGGCCTGTGCGGGGAATATATCCTCCGTGCAAAAATTTGGCCTAGAAATTGTCCGAACATTTCGGAAAATAAGGGCCGATTTCCCCGCAGATTTTACCGAAAATTTGGCTTTTATCAAATCGTAATAATATAACCATTGCTGTTATGCAGCAATTACAGTATGATTCCGTGCAACTATTTTCCTAGTGATTTTGTGCACAAATAGGCTAGGCAATCTAGCTCAAAAAAGAGCCAAAAGTCAAACAAATTTCAAACAAAGGTTTTTCTTTTTTAATCAAGTACATATGATGAGGGGATGAAATTCCACAATCACACCTTGGTCACACCTCGGGAACATATGCAAATTAGCTAAAATATGCAAATTAGTTTGAAAATATAGGGTTCTTATATTTTGGCAACCGCTGGTCGCAAGGATTTGACTTGATTTGACTTTATTTGGCATCATAAAAAAACAGTATACATTACAGATAAAATACATAAAATCGATAAAAAGTTCATAAAAAAAAAGTGACAAAGGATGCCTGGAACGCCCATAAAGTCCAAAGACTTATTTCCAATGTGGTCCGTTGACAATTAAGACAAAACAACAAAACAAAATTTACATAAAAACATCCCCACCTTCTTCAGTTGAACAATTATTTAAGAATTTTTAAAGTTTTATTTTGAAAGTATTGAGGACTTGACAAGATTTAATTTCCAATGGCATAGAGTTCCAATTTTTTATAGCATTAAAAAAGAAAGTTTTAGATGCCACCGATGTAACGTACGGTATTCTAAAATTAAGGGAGCTATGTCTTGTTGGAACTATGTCTTGTTGGTTCCTTTTTCAAATTATTCAGAACATGCATGTTTCTATTTGTTCTAATGGAACATTTGCCCAAAAAATGAACGGAAATACTACAATTGACCTCTGACCTTATATTCACTGAATTTGCGTATCTCTGCAACTAATGTATATAGAATCTTAATTTAGGTCTTAAATTATTCAAATACATGATTCTTTCCCAATATATTAATCAAAGGGATGGAAATCTATAATTAAGAAATTATTAATAAGATAGCACTCCAAGACTAAGTTTGAAAAGATAATTTAATTAACACAATACTTATCATATATACTTATCAATCATTGTTTCATATTGAGCCACATATTTATACTTGTGATATTTGTTCCATATAGGACCAAAGGATGTTACATAAATATAAAGTTAACATCTATCGCAGATTTTAAGATCAACAGATGTGATGATACTGTAGAAGATGATCCCGATGATCAGTAGTTATGGGCAACATGGTTCATAATATGTTTGAGTTCTGATCATTTTTTGTCATAACTTCTCTAGATTAGAAATATATTATATAAAATACAGGCATACTTTCTAAATAATTTGAGACACCAATGTCAAGTCTCTTGACCAGTAATCATAGAGTTACACGAAAATATAGAGCAGGAAGCTGGTAATAAACGAGGGCATTAGTGACTTTGGAACAAACGTTTTATTACAGAGAACATCAAATAATATTTTCGAAAAAATAATTATTTGATAATTATTTTGAGAATAATAAATATATTCCAAAATGATCAAATATTCCATTTCTGCATGCTTTGAACAAACAAGGAAAGCAACTATTTCTGCTTCTAATTTGCATTGATAAATTTGTTATGATCTTGTAAATTTATATTTTTGTATGAATTGAAAAGGAATTAAATAAATTTTACTTTGAATTGAATTGAATTGAATATTTAGGTAAACTGCATATAGAGAATGCAAGTGGCCAGGGTGTGATTTCTAGAATGTCATCACATATACTGTACGGTGAATCAAAACCTGAAGTATACCGGTGCATACATATTATAGTACTGAAGCAAACAGATGGCATAATATAAAAAAAATTTAATTAAATACCTGCAAGTGTATTAGTGTTTTGTGAGGTGGTTAATAAAAATGTCTAGAATTCAGGCATGTTTTATTAAATTTTATGGCACTTGTTCTTCCATATTAATTCAGGTAATTAAAAAAAAGACCACATTCTTCTGAGCTGCGTATTAAAATTTAAATAAAAAGGGTTCTGCCATAGGAAAAGGAATACACTTTTTGCCCAGGCTCAGTGTTCTTATTTTTTTGCTGATTTCAGGCTCAAAATGTTCTTATTTTGGTTATTATTTTTACACATTCCATTTTTCAAGCATAGAAAATTATTGTACAGCATTACTACAGGTCTCCCTCCAATTATTTTTTTTTTTTTTTATTTATTAAGGTACAGTATAGCAAAATATTACAAAAGGCAGAACAGGTCTGAAATTATTGCATTACAAAAAACAGATAACCAAATAGAAACTTACACTAAGCTGAAAACACACCAAAATCACACACAATATCAAAAATATACAACTAGATAAAAAATAGACAATATTAAAAGATTAGCTAAATACGAATAGTAAAAAAGACCACTTTTGGGACCAGGGTTTCCATAGTCTCTTAGCAGCTTTGGTCTCTCATTAGAATAATTTGAATTTGGAACCACAGAAAAGTGGTCTTTAATTGGAGGTGGTCTTTAATTTGTAGGGTCACCAGATAAGATTTGTTGGTTTTCCTAGTACAGTAGAACCTCGATCTTACATACTGTATGGTACGGGACCGGAGGACGTACGTAAATCAGGGGATTCGTAAAATAGAGGTTGGATTAAATTTGTGGTGACCTTTAACCCTATACGTATGTAACACTTAATAAAGGTAGGCCTATGTTATGAACGTACGAATGATGTTATCTATGCTAGATCTAGCCTCTAGGCCTACAGTACGAATAAAACTATGTGTTTAGTGTTTTTTATTCATCATTACAATGTCATAATAAAGTGTTCAAATAAAACCATTTGTCTAGTGTAATAATTCATCACTTTATATCTTTTATTTAACTAAAGAACATGAAAATATTGTAAAATTACCTATACGACAAAGGTATAACTTGGGGCCGCTGAGACAAACTAAAACGTGCACTGCAATGGGCGAGCCAACCAATTAGCGTTCGTGTACGTGAAACAGCAACCACATGCGCTGAATTGGGCGAGCCAACCAATTAGCGTTCGTGTACGAAATTATGCCTACCCAGCTTAGTGTCGAAAATTCGACCAGACAAGTTTTCCACACGCTCAGTTCACGATGTTTTAATTATAACAGCCCGGTAGTAGACTCAATCAACGATGCTGTTTAATGAAAATATGTTGCATATGGTTTGTTTATTGTTTTAGTATTGAAATAATAAGCAGACAGAAGTAACAAATCTCTTTTTAATTATGGTGGCTCTGAAAAGGGTTGTTCGTTTTGAATGTTTTTGTGGTTTTTGATGACGTCATTGTCGAAATGAGGCGTACCTAAAACCGAGGGTTCGTATAACTGGGGTACGTAAAAACGAGGTTCTACTGTAATATCATTTGATACTTTACCTCAACTTCAATTTGTTCTATTTTGTTCTTAATTTTTAATCAATTTCAGCCTTCTTAGTGTTTTTTTATTCAGTGTTCTTATAAAATGTTTTCTTATAAAAAATAAATAAAAATGCTCTTAGATAAGAATAAGATTTTGTCCATACTTTGGTGAACATGAACACCAGTAAAAATATATGGTTTCTCATCAAAACCTTTTCTGGAGAAATTAAGTTTATCCCCCTAATTTTGTTGTAACTTATCAATGTTTCGAGGTCAAGTTGAAAAGGGTTGCAAATTGCAATGTTGAAACAAGGTGAAAAATAATTTGAATTGGTACAAAAGAAGAAGCAGGGTGAATGAGAAAATAAATTAATTTCCTTGAATGACCTATGTCTATGGCCTAGAAATTACAGACGATTTGTGCCTGTAATCTGTAAATTGATTGATGGAACGGTATTCCATGCAAAATCAGACATACTGTACCTAAAATTTCATATTTTATTTTTTACAATGTTACAATATTTTTATTGTAAAAAGTAGTTTTATCAAATTGTTATTATTTATATTTTTCTCCTACTAGTTGGCTTACTCCTCTGTTCAAGATAGGCTATAAGAGGCCTTTGGAAATTCAGGATATGTACCCATTACTTGATAATGATAAGGCAGAGCACCTTGTTGATCATTTATCAAGGTATGTACAACAGGTATCTCCTCATTGAACTAAAGTTTTTTTTCGTACCAGCAATCTTTAATATTCCCACCATAATTCCCCCCCCCACCCAATACTTACTGTACAAATAGGCCACTTTATTCCTATCCACTTCCCATTATCCTTCATGTTGTCACAGTGTTTCTCATAATCTCTATTTTACAGGCAGTTACAAACATTCCCTATTCTGTGTCCTTAGATCAATGGTGTATCTGGAAGGGCTCTCCTGCCCTCATTGAAATTATCTGAAGCAAAAAAATCATGCTCAAGTAGCTAAAGGTCACCATATTTTGTGACCTAGCACTCCCTCGCTTAATCATCAAGCCCTCCCACTCCACCTTCCTATCCTCCATCAGCCCCCTCCCATTTCAAGACTCATCATTTTCAATCATGCCATTTTTCCTTAGTGTGTTCTTATCATCTTGAATTATTTTCCATCTTGCAAATTATCCCTGCAGGACATGACATATGTGATTCCCATCCCATGTAAGGAAATATGGGACAAGAACTAGTGAAATTCACTACGACATCTTGTGTTACTCACCCGCGTTACTGTAGACAAAACTATTGAAATGCTATCAACTAAAGCATAGAGTATGTGGCAAAGACAAGCAGAAGCAGTCACTCGTTGCAAATATTGCGGTTATTAATACAGGGTTAAGCCTTAAAATGAGAGCTATAAAATGGTAAAAAAATCATTTAAATCCTACATAATTTCCTAATATGAAGTTACAAGCGTTTAAACATGCAGTTGTTGAAAAGAACAATATTTGAGAAATCTGTCTTCAAAATTTATGATTTCAGGAATTTTTCAGGTGGGATCCATCACAAAACGTTTAAAATTTTGTTTTAACATTGAAAATGGGAAAAATAACAGCATAGCATAATGTAGATTTAGAAAATGTTTACATTCCAGCATGTTTTGCCCAAATGTTACAGTACCTCTGAAACACGATTTGCAACAAGTGACTGGTTTGGCTTTCCTTTGCTACTTATTACTGTAAACAACATGATGTCATACATGGCTCGGTTTGTGAATTTGTTGTTTTGCCAAATTTACCTCAAAACTAATGAAACATATCTGCATACTTTTTACACAGGGTACATCAAATCAGTAAAGTAATATTTGGTATGATTGGTAAATGGTAGAAATTTGGCAATGTTTTCTAAACTGTCTTTCCTGACTTTTTTGTTGTCTTCATTGAAAAGAGAATGACAATTTCTTATTTCAGTTTTGAATGTTTTTGTTTCATTAGAAAATGGGAAAAAGAGGTCTTACAAAGTAAAAGTAGCAGTTATGATCCAAGCCTGCGCTGGGCTGTAGCCCGCTTTATATGGAAACCTTTGATGATTACAGCTCTCTTTGCTTTTGTTGAGGTGATTATTAATTTCTTACTAATTAGTGAATAATGTTTTATTTGGCAAAATGTTTTCATTTAATTGTATTTGTCATATTTGTAAGTTGAAATTTGTTCCATACACAAACAAATATATTCAATTCAAATTCGCTTATAATAAATATTGATATTTTTTAGGACAAGATTTTACACATTTCTGGCAAATACTGTAACCTTAATATTTGACGTACTTAAAAATTATTTCCCAAATATTATTTTTTCTTAGATATACTTACACATGTATATTTAGATGGTAAATTTTTATGATGCTAACTTCCTCAACTACGGAAGGTCATGGGCGTTTTTGTGTGTAATAAAACACTGTATTTGCGACATTGTTTACATCAATGAAATGGAGTACCAAGGAAAAATAAGCTGCCTCGCTGTTGTACTTTTAACATTTTACTTTTCATGTCCCACTTAATTATACCTTAATCTGATGATATTTTTCATTCATTATAGGAATTTAGTAGAACGATACAACCACTGTTTGTGAGCTATCTCGTCATGTACTTCACCATGGACTCAGATATAACAACCCAGGAAGCTTACGTATATGCCACTGTCATTGTGTTGTTTTCCATTGTTGCAGTAACAGCACATCATCCTTTTTTTTTCTGCTCATCACTATTGGGCATGAGGATACGAGTTGCATGTAGTGGTCTTATTTACCGAAAGGTAAACATTATTATGTAGACAAAACTGTGTATTTTTCTTGTCGAAATGGCATATTCAATAATCAAGAACTTTAGAAAGTCCTTGAATTTTATTAATCTGTGCAAATTTTACTCATAGACAGTCAAAAAGCATTAGAAAATATATATACAGTTATTCATTGTGCTAATCATAGTGGAGAGCTCAGGATGTTTTGATTTTTCACAGTCGATGGATGACTATTAGCTGTAAATTAATTATTATGATAGAGAATGCCATATTGAAATAATTGGCAACAACATTGCCCAAAATACAACACTTTCTCCAAGTTTATATGTACTGATGGTAAATTCATCTTATAAAAATTTAAATTCTATATTTTATCTGGTGCAAGAAATGTAGCCAGTGGTCAGTTGTGGGCCCATGAGTTCAATTCTCAGGGTCCATCATTGTGGCCACTAATTCCTCTCCCACAAAATCAAGATGTCACATAATGACTGTAGGTACCAAACTGATAAATAATTAAATAATATCATAAGCTTATTTTGGTATTTGAATCAGCTTCCTAATCGCTAGATTTGATTAGTCATGCTTGACCTGTGGCTACAGTGAGATGATAATAATTGTCAACCCAAGGTCAACCCATTGTCAACTTGAGTACTTTACCTGGTTTGAGTTGTGAGTTGAGAGTGATTTCTAACCAGTATTGAGTTACTGTACCCCTGGCTGGGTAAACATGTTGATTGCCATTGGCAAGCCTTTTTTGCTAGTGCCGTCCCATATGCCAAGGTATAAAGGGTGCCACCGTAATGTAAATCACCATTCCTCTTAACTGCAATGAAACAAAAAAAAAACATCTGTATTTATTTTTATGACATTATTTCCGGATTCTTCCGTGAACATCCTGGGCGAGGGTTTGTACTTTGGCGACCACTGTCAACGAGTTGGTGTGCAATACAATAGTGGTATGTTTGGACAGGTGTGGATGTAAACTCACATCCTTCGTGCCCTGCGTAAACTCGCATCTCTGGCAGTAACCACGAACATGTTAAGACTACAAATAAGTCAACTGGACTGAGCTTGGCTTGACTTTAGACCGGTCTTAGTCTGTGTTCAGTTTTTTTAGTTATAATTGTATCAGGCCAGATGTGAGTCAACCCAGACTGGTTCAAACTTTATACTGTGTGTACTTTAAACAGACTGAGTCAAACCTGGCTTTGCCCTCTATACTGACTACATCATTTGTCTCTTTTATTTATAAACAATATTGTTCTACTGTTCTCAATTGACTTCATTTTAATGCAATTGTTCCAACATCTCATTCCTGCAGGCCCTCAGGTTGAGTAGTACAGCTTTAGGAAAGACAACAGTTGGACAAATCGTAAACATTTTGTCAAATGATGTAAACAGATTTGATCTGGTAAGTTTCTGGTCTGAATTACAGTATGCAAAAGATAAAAAAAGTATAGTCATTATATTATTAATAGTATAAAGCAGATATGTAGAAGATAAAAAGAATAAATAATAGTTTTTCTTTGAAATAATATTTCACTACTGAGTTTGTGTTGTGTATCTTCTGGTCAAAAAGTAGAACAATTTGATTTGATTTACCTGATAAAATAACAGTCTATGGGAGGCAAGCCTGTCGCTCCTCCTAGAAACTGGCCTTGGCTAGACCTTGTTAGAAATATACATTAAATGTATTAAAGTCTAATATTTAAGACAATCTGTGTGTAAGACATTCCCCCAAGTTTGTGATGATTTTTTGGATGTTGGATGTAAGATGGCTCCTCACTGTATTTACCATTTTTACCATCACTACTGGCAATCCAAACAATTCATTTTTGATAACTACTGTTAAAGTATGTAATTCAACTTGTATGTTCTGGCATTGGGTTGATCCAATTGAATAGTGTTCAAGTGTCTGTTCTTGGATACACCTGTGGCTGCTACTGCCTTCTAAGATACTTGCCTTGTAATCCTAGGGTCATGGGTTCAGTTCCTGTGGCAGCAAGACCATTTCTGACAACTAAAAGCAACTCTCTAAGCCACATAAAAAGACAATTAATAGCTTGTCTCCTGTAATTGGCAAGTTACTTGCTCTTGGATGCGAAAGAAATAAAGAAAACTATTACTAAAAAATATAGATTTCAGCACATGTGCATGGATAAACCTTTATTTATTTTACTCCACATGGGACATGCTATTCAGGATCAAAAGTGTATGTTTATACCTGTATTCATATGGTACGATCTAGGTAGCTTATCTTGTACTTTTCAAGATATGATTGTTCTAAAATTATTATTATTATTATTATTGTTATGATTGTTATAAATGTTTATTATTATTATTATTATTATTATTATTATTATTTTTCTTTAATCACAGGCAATGCTCTTTGTCCACTACCTCTGGATAGCTCCATTACAGTTAATTGCTGTTACTGTGTTGCTATGGTATGAAATAGGCCCATCATGCTTTGCTGGTGTGTTTATCGTTCTGCTTATGGCTCCACTACAAGCATGGTTTGGAACACTTTTTGCAAAATTTCGGTATGTCGTGTCTTTATATCGGAGTTGCTTTATCAGTGGTACTGTATTTTGGTGGTTAACACGTTGACTGCCAGACCTTTTTTTTAGGTTCCTTCATGTATTCCGGAACAAGTATACATGTACAAACATTTTTGAAGTTAATAACTTTGGAAGGCTCAAAATTATTTTCATCTTGCCTCTTAAAAGAGTGCTGTACTTTCATTCCCCAATTACCAAATCTTCAATTAATGACCCATCATTCCCTGAAAATACCAATAACTTTTTCTACAACTTATTAGACAAGACTTTTTTTAGTCTCTGTTTCACATACTTATTTTTTAAAGATTATCGGAGGAGGGCGGAATATATAAATAAAATGTTGTTTTCGTATTTAGCAAATAGTTTTGCCAAAATCATACAGATGGAGGAGAAAATAAAATTTAACTTCTACTGGTGAATGTAAAATAGGATGGTTAAATGCTTCAGGAAGAAATATACATGTCTTTTTTTTTGGAGGTCTTGATAAAAATAAAGAAAAGCTTTTATTCTTTTTCTGAAATTTTCACTTTTTTGTGGCGGCAGGTGCGCTAATTGGCCAAAAATAAAATGTTATTTTTATTTGAAATCATCAGTACTTGCAGTCGGTATATAAACAAGGTATAAAAAAAAGTCTCGCCTTAGCCATTTTGCCAAAAAATGCCTCGTTTTATTTTTTTGTGGCAAATACTGTAACATGATAGAAAATTTTTTATTTTTTTTTATACAGATCAAAGACTGCTATCTTGACTGATGAAAGAATTCGCATTATGAATGAGATCATCGCTGGAATGCGAGTTATCAAGATGTACGCTTGGGAGAAACCTTTCAGTTACCTTGCATCTGAGTGTAGAAGGCAAGATCTCATTACACACAATTTTCTCCATTATGCTTAATATTACCAACTTACTTTAATGAACAGCCTATGAATTTCACACCGGCAATCAGCAATTGCTGACCAAGATTTGCCACAGGACGGCAATTTTTTGCTGACCTACAGTAGTCCTAGGCTTCTTTGCTTCAAAAGTCAAAACTTGGCTGAAACAGGCTAAAGCAGATAATAAATTTCATGTATGTCGTCTAACCAAGGAAATTGGTTGTTCATAAGACAGATTTTTATTTATTTATTTATTTATTTCAACAATCTTTAATGAGGGTGGTCCATCCAGCCGAAGCTGATCATTAGGGACCCTCAATACACATAGTAAGAC